GCTTAAAGCCAAATTAGTTACCCATGCTGAGCTCCTTGTACGTTTGTTGATTGGTCAAGATCTTTGTCAATACTGTCCTCATTGCTCCTCCCATCTTTGTAAGCTCCTCCAAAAACGTGATCTGAGGCTCCAGCTGTTGAAGAACCTTCTGCAGATCTCTCTCCGCTGATGTGTCTGGCATACAGAGATAAGCAGCATATGTAACAAGATCCAGTGTTTTCTGAACCACTTGTAGACGATTGCAAACAACGATTGTGTAATCCACAGATTATGTATGCATAATGAACGCTGTTTTGTAATTATTTTTCAACTGGAGAAACACAGCTTTTATAAAGTGGAAGACTTTTTTAACCAGGATAAAAACTCAAAAATCTAATTTACAACAGTTACAGCTAGACAGCAGCAGAGCCAGATAGAAGGGAGACAATTTCAACAATCGTCTGATATTAAGAGTCAATTAAAATTACAATATTAGATCAAATTATTGTGAATGAATTAATTACTTCAAGTGTGTTAAATCTGAAAGCTAAGAAATGTTTCCCATATGCCAATAGTTTGCTCAAGGTAAAACTGTTTTCACCTGGTTCAATGTATCCATCTCTCAGATACTGAATGATGCACAAGATGAAGCGAGGCAGAACCATCTCGGACATCAAGAGAAGATCTCGGGGTATGGAGGGCACATTTTCCCCGGTTCTTAACCTATGCCGTCTGCAAAACCTGTCAGTGAAGAAAAATACAAAGATAAATAAATGATAAACTAGAAAAAAAAAAACATTGGCACAAAAGAAGCATTTTTCACAGCCACCCTTTCATGTTTGCACATCTGTTTTTAATCTCTTGACTATTGAAAGCCACTGTAATTAAAATGATTCTGAGCAAATATGCCATCAGTGTTAATGGATTTGTAGTTATTACCCAACCACATAACTTTGTACGATTATTAAAATGGTTCCTTTTGTCCAAAAACTGCTGAATAAACTATTTACCAATTAAATGTTTTCTGACACTTATGTTGCTAACTTATCTGCAATTCATGGATGAAATTCATTCATAGTTGCATATATTTTATTTTAACTATGAAGTCCATTGCCACAATAGCCATTAGTTTTACTAAGTATTAATAACTTACATTTAAAACCTTAAATGTAAGGTCTTACATTTAAGACCTTACATAAATGCATGCTTACATATTAACAAAAATATAATCACTTCGCGTATGCATAACTTATTCAACAACTGTTAATATTCACTAAATATGAGTTCAATATTTTTTCAAACAAAAGCTTAAAATAAAATATAGACTTTTCTGACAAAGTGGCTGGTACTGAATACTGAAACATAAATGCCTTGATTTTAATTCCCTAAACTGGGAATGTTAAACTTAAATGTATTTTTACGCTGTAAAAGACTAAATTTAATCCTGGCTTCTTATAGATGAGTAATTGAATAAAGATACACGAATAAAGAAAAATCCACAAATTTAAGAGCCAACATGGAATGTCTGTATGTATTAAAGACTTCTCAACCTAAAATTGGGATTATTACATATTAGAGTTTCTAAGCCCCTGCTATTACTTCTATAAGATTTTGACTGGAAAAGAAAGACAAAAAAGATGAATGAGACATCACCATGATTATATGTGAAGGGGACATAATCCACTCACATTTGAAAAGTATTCATTTGGACATCACCGCCCCTCCATATTTAAAATAAAATATACTTCGCCCAGCGCCATTCCTAAAGCTTTGTGAAATAATACATTCCACTTCATTGATAGAATATTCTTTTATTTAAAGAAATATTAAAATCTCATCCTGTCTCATTCGTATTAGCTCAATATGCTGCTGTCTTGTAAGCATTAGGTATTGTTTTGCTCTAGGAATATCTAAAGATGCTCCAATCTTTCTGTTTTCCCTCCTGATACCAAATTGTGTTCTTCTTTGAGGCCCAACTTGCAGATTCTGGTTTCCCTAGAAATTTCCCTAGAAATATATATATATATATATATATATATATATATATATATATATATATATATATATATATATATATATAAATATAAAAGACAAGACCCAAGGTGTAGGTTGTGCAAGGAGGCCCCTGAGACAGTCCAGCACATCACAGCAGGGTGCAAGATACTGGCAGGGAAAGCATACATGGAGCGACATAACCAAGTGGCAGGCATAGTGTACAGAAACATCTGTGCAGAATATGGACTGGAAACCCCGAGATCAAAGTGGGAAACACCCCCAAAGGTGGTAGAGAACACCAGAGCTAAGATCCTGTGGGACTTCCAGATCCAGATAGACAAAATGGTAATGGCGAACCAACCAGACATTGTCGTAGTGGATAAACAACAGAGGAAAGCCGTTGTGGTAGATGTAGCAATACCAAGTGATTGCAACATCAGGAAAAAGGAGCACGAGAAACTGGAGAAATACCAGGGCCTCAGGGAAGAACTGGAGAGGGCCTGGAAGGTGAAGACCACAGTGGTGCCTGTGGTCATCGGGGCCCTCGGGGCAGTAACCCCCAAACTGGAGCAGTGGCTACAACAGATCCCAGGAACAACATCAGACATCTCAGTCCAGAAATGTGCAGTCCTTGGCACAGCCAAGATACTGTGCAGAACCCTCAAGCTCCCAGGCCTCTGGTAGAGGACCCGAGCTCAGAGGATAAGAACCACCCGCGGTAGGTGAGAAGGTAATTTATATATTTATATATATATATATATATATATATATATATATATATATATATATATATATATATATATATATATATAGATGAGTAATATATATATATATATATATATATATATATATATATATATATATATATATATATAAGAATTACAAAATTATCATCATTTGTACTTAAAAAAATACATGAAGTTTAAAATAAATCCTAATCTTATTTTCATTAACCCTAAAAAAATTGCATCAAAGTAAAAATTTATAGTTGATGCTTTTATAAGATAAAACATGTTGGAATTCTTAGTTTTAAGAATTCTGAAATGATTAATTCTGATTAATCATAAAAAATTTTAGGTGTATATGTACTAACATTCACCCAAAAATTAGATTGATTTTTGAAAAATCCTACAAAATGTAAAATAAGTTTGCTTAAAGTTTGTACTCTACAAAAAAACTGATTTGTTTTTTGTATTTCTTGCCCTGTACAATTTGACCCATGTAAACAAAGATGAGGACATACCTTCCTTAAGTTGCTTAAGACTGTAATGACATAAGCAAGTCGCTCACCAGAAAATGTATTTCAAGGAAGATAACCGCTTAATCATTTACACCCAACACAAGAAGAATGTTATATTTTTCCGAGCAGAAATATACATCTGCTAAATTTTTAGGCATCACTACAAATTTATCTGGGCAGTAAATATAGTCTCAAAGACAGTTACTGGTATCAAGGTATCTCAATGTTTTCAAAAGTATCCAAAGGCACTACATTTTTAAATCATATTGCTGGAGTTCTGCCATTTTATTAAAAATTCAAAGAAAGTGCCAGAGTGACCTGAGCTTGAGATGGTTGAAGCACACAGTAGCACAGCAAGCCCCTTTCTCAACATGTTGCTATGCACTGACAGTGGCTTAAAGAAACCTACAACACTTTTCTTCTAACAATTTCTTCTAATTCTGTCTTGTGTATGTCTTGCGCCAACTTTGTGTTGCCAGCCAAGTCATTTTTACTATGTTCTATTTTAATAACATTTATCATATAGTTAATGTCTAAATGAATGAAAATTAAAGACAGATAGACTTATACTTAAACATAACAGTAATAAATACAAGTCACTTGTAAGTTAGATGGCAATGTTTCAGTTTCAATAAACACTTTTTTAAGTAAAGTGTTAAATTGAAACAAGGTGCCTTTTTTGTGACAATTACTATGGTCACAATAATGATTAAGCCAGTTTTTGTTTTAGCTCAGTCTCTTTCATGTATTTCATATTTTTAATGCACATGCTTTATTAACTGTAAATACACAACAAGAGTATATTGAATTTATATTTAATTATTTTAAAGTGTCTACATTTCATTTTGAGAATTGCAATAAATGCACAAACTTATTGTAAAGAATAAAACTTTTTGTTTACAGATTTTTTTCCACGTAAAAATCTGTTAAAAATATTTATCTTAACCACATGTTTTAAGGTTTTGAGATGCATTAAAGAAACAATGGTATTTTTTCTAAATGATCTGTGTGCATTTTAAGTATTTTTTATTAAAATTATAGTAACACCTGTCATTTTAATATAGGGATCATTTTTTCTTCTTTTATGGCAAACCATTTTCTTTTATACGATATATCTAAGGTCCAATTAACAATGACAATTAGTTTTATCATTGAGCATTTACACTGACCACTATCACTGATTTACGACATATACTTAAAAGCATAAGAAATAATCTAGTTTAGTCACCCGTTTATGTTATATCTAAGCAGTAACTATTTGGTTAAAAAGAGATAAACAGACGAGCTGCTGCTAAATAATATTAGTCATGTTTAGGCAGTAAAAGTTACCTGCCTAGTCTAGGGAGCTTCGACACTACAGACTGGTAATAATTCATAAAATCTCCGACATAAGAGCACAAAACAGTGACACGGAAAGCCCTGACAGAAACATTTTATCAGCTACGTAGGCTCACTTCACGGCAACACCTGTCAGAACGATTCCTGCTAGCCCATTAGCATGAGCAGCTAAGACTTACCCACTGTCTCGCATGACATTACTGTCTCCACAGTCACAGGCCCCACCAGCCTGGCTCCTGAACATGTTGAAATCATGGCCCGTATGGTCTCCATTATTAAAACACTCAGCACACAGTGACATGCACGGAGAGATGCCGCAGGTCCGACATCGGTATGCCACGAAATTAGCCGTCCAAACCAGTCCGCACAGAGTCGCGTTGTCATAGGAGCGGACGGTTTTACAGAACTCCTCGAAACCTTCGCCTCCCGCGATCAGACATTTACACCAGTCCAGGGCTTCTGTGTCCGCAGCTGGTTTCTCGGGATTCAGCACGGCGTCGAGCAGGTCCTGAAGTTGTCGGAGTCCCGAGCTGTTGTCAGTCCGGGTTAAGTCTGCTTTCAAGTGGGCGGCAGCAGCTCTCTTGTCCCGGCGTAGCAGCGACGCCGCCATCATGCACTCTAGCTTGTTGTCCACAAATGTATTTTTGTTATCTTGTTTCCATATTCTCGGGCTTTCTCGCGATACCGGAAGCTAAACAGACTCCACTCGCTGTTTCAAGCAAGCGATTTTCTTGTACATTTTGCTACTGCAACAACACTGTAGACACCGCTGTTTGCGTATTTTTAAATAGATAATCCTGGCACATATTATTTGTGTAACTAATTCAGTTTATGCACAGTCATCTAAGTCATGTTTTGTTTGAGCGTTTCTAGGCAACTGAGAGTTTGGGACCGTCCCACCCCGCTCAAAGTCTTGCCATTTCACGATTTACCATGGTGAGAATGCATTTTGATTATATAATTATCAACAAAAGGTGACCATTAATAACAGTGCACACCCTCTCTTAACTGGGTTGGGTTCAGCATTAGATGTGAGAGGATTTTCTGGATTATACAGTAAATAATTTTCATATTTAAAGTCCCCTTACATAATGTGCAATAGCAGAATTCGAGGTGTAGTTGAAAAGATTATTTCTTTTAATCCATCCATCTTTTATACTCTGTTTTCTTTGCAGATTATAGAGGACTCTGCCAAAGGTAAAAAAAATACATAAAAAGAAAAAAATATTTTTGTCAGTGTATTATCAAACTTTTTGACATCCAACCATTTGATCCTTGTAGGGTCATGGGAGGCCAGTGGTCATCTTCATCTTCATTAGGTGAGAAGCTGGGGTACAACAGGTCAGTTCATCTAAAGGCAAAACAGAGACACAAATAATTTAGCAGATGATAGAGAAAGTAACTGTCCTATCAGTCATGTGTTTGGATTATCTAAGGAAAAAAACATCAATGTATGCATGGAGAGAGCATCCAAAGTTAATGCAGAAAGACCGTCAATGGCAAGTTGTTCTTGTTAAAAACCATGAACTCATGGATAAAGTCGAGACATGTAAAAACATACATTCCAATCTATGCTGCAGCAAGACAGAACTTGGTATCCATCTAGCAGAACAGCTCCACTAGATAATTAAACATTCACTAAAACATTCAACGATAAGCATGACTTGATCAGAAGTACGTTTTTCAGATTGGTGTGCTGCACAAAAATACTTTCACAAGTATTTTTCTAAGAAAAAAATCTATTACCTTTCTTTCGCAGAAGAACTATAGTTTACATTCCAAATCACAGTTTAGTTCTGAACATAAGAACAAAACAAAAACAATTCCTCAGTCTTTAAAGTAAATTTGATAATACTCTTGCAGTGAATGGAAGAACTGAATGATAATAGCTTCAGAAAGGACATCAGTTATATCTAGCTTTACCAGTTAAGGAAACAAGAAAATAACACCTGAATGATTCATCATATTCTGCGAAAAAAAAAATAAATAAACTCCACCGTAAAATGTTGCAAGTGAGGTTATTTTGGCTCCTTCATGTGGGGATAGAAGAAAATAAAAATGTAGAGCCATAATAAACAATTATCGCTTTTTAAAACAGAATACAGTTGAGGTTGTATGCAAATTTGTCATACAGCATTTATAAATTATAAGGAAGTACCAGAAAGGCATAGAAAAACATTGGGAAAGAAAACCTTGTTACATGATTTAGAATGTGTCACAGAGGTGTTGCATGCTTTTTCATCGTCTGATGGAAGAACCGAAATGGATAAACATTCAGCAGGTTTGAGTGATCATTGTATGTGCAAGAATTTATTAGCAGACTTTTATGAAATCAACATGTATATGAAAGAGACTTCCAGACTTTAAGAAGCATCAAACCAGATAAAGTTGAATGACACAACAGGACATTTTGTATAACAAATTCTTACAATAAAAGGTCAAGTTATGTCATTTAGTTGGTCATCAACATCCAGTTTGTAATTTTTTTTATAATTTCCCCTCCACGCTCCAGTGCAATAGGTGGCGCTGAGGCATCTTGTAGTTGACCGGCAATACTGTCTAGAAAATATCAGAAGAAAACTAAGAAAAAGCAGAAAAATCAGCTTGTAGTTGTATTTTCCACCGTTAGAGGGCGGCAGAACTCAATGTCGTATCAAAACTGGATGAACTAGAAGAAGAAGAAGAGACACTTTCGGGTTTGTTTTGGTTGACGAGCGCCCGTGTGAGGAGGAACATGCGGGTTACCTTAAAAGCTTATTTTTGCTGTCTGCAATTCAGAACCGCTTGACTTAATGTTTTCTCTCGGTGTTGCTACATTGCTGTGGAAAAATATCGCGAAATGAAGCTGAAGGAGTTGGAAAGCTGCCTGCAGCAGGTAGACACATTTGAGGAGCCAAAAATCCTCCTGGAGCAGTATCCAACCAGCCCTCACATTGCAGGTGAGTTGGTGAGCATCGGAACAGCTCTTCGCAGACTGAATATTCAAAACTAAACAATGATATTGTTTCCCTTTGTCCCCACAGCATGCATGCTTTACACGATTCACAACACGTTTGACGACATTGAGGGTAAACTGGTGGCAGATTTCGGCTGTGGTTGCGGAGTCCTCAGCATCGGGGCTGCCATGCTGGACGCAGGGTGAGACAAAGATCTCCCCCTGTGACAGTCCTGCTTGCTCAGCAGCTTTCTGATGTTTTCGTTCTAAGCAGGTTGTGCGTCGGTTTTGAAATCGATGAGGACGCACTCGAGATATTCAGAAGGAACGCAGAAGAATTTGAGCTCTCTAACGTGGATCTGCTCCAGTGTGATTTATGCCACCTGCAAGCAGAGGCTTATGGCCAAAAGTTTGACACTGTTATAATGAATCCACCGTTTGGTACAAAACACAACCAGGGTGAGTTTAACTCGACACAGAACTTTCTGGTAATTTCGTTTTATTAGTTAGAAATTGATTGTAACGGGGTGATGCTGGGAAAAGTACTTGAGTTCCTTTTCATTTGCATTTTTTTTTGCACACCACAGATGATCAAAGACATGTTAATATCACACAAAGATAACTGAAGTAAATACAAAACCATGTTTTCTACTAATGATCAAATCCAATGTGGGAAGAAAAAAAAATTAACACCCCTGGTTATATATGCAAAAACTAATCACCTTCATCCTTACATCATGAACTGTAACTACAATTTATCAGTCTGGAAAGGATTACTGAACCCCTTAAAGCAACTTTGAGCATTCAGGAAGGCAAACTTTGATAGCAACAACATTGACTAATCAATAATAATTTGCTTGTATCACACAAGTTCAATAAGGATTTTTTAAATACTGTAGTTTTGGCTCAATGTCTTATACAAATCTGCTACAAGTGAATTCATGTTATAAGTATTTACAGTTTTTACTGTTTACTCAAGGGATGGACATGAAGTTCCTCCGCGCTGCTTTGACCATGTCAAAGTCGGCTGTTTATTCGCTTCATAAAACATCAACACGAGAGGTAAGCTCCAGCTCTCATTACATCTCACATTTTTTTTATTGTGATTCTGATCCTTGTTTAGACAAGCCAACAGACTGCAACAAATGGAAAAGTTCAAAATAATTCATACCCAAGGAAGGGTACAACAATTACACAAATCATACAAAATTACATGTGAAATTAATACTGTTTTTAGTTTTAAAAAAAATAATAATTTTGGTATTTCTATCCCAATTGTTCATAAATCCCATGTTAAATGGTGGCATTTAAGATAGAGCTCACTAAATCAGATTAGAGATCCATTTAAGTTTGAATTGGAATATTTTAACTCATCTGATGTGATTACAGCACATACAAAAGAAGGCTAATGACTGGGGAGTGAAGATGGAAGTCATTGCAGGTTAGTGAGACAATTCAATCCTTTCTAATCAAAGAAACATTAAACCCTAATTGTATTCTTTGTTCATAGAACTGAGATATGATTTGCCAGCTTCCTACCGCTTCCACAAGAAGAAGTCTGTAAGTTCATTAACAATATGCAATATCATGCACTTCAGATCCAAAACAAAACTTTATTTTTTATAAACATTTAATTTGCTACTGGAATATGCAAACTTTAAACGAAATTCATGACACATTCGCATCACTCAATGTAGTAAATCTACAAAATGAAAACAAACAACCAATGGCACACTAATTCTAGCTATCACTCAGATGAAATTAGACCGTCAGGTTTACGTTGATTGTGCTAAAATTAAAACATTTTTTGTTGAGAAAAGAAAACATACAAATAAGAGGCAAAAAATAAAGGGCTTAAAAAGCTGAAAACTGACTCCAAGTTTTCCAAATGTTTCTTCAGGTTGACATCCAGGTGGACTTTCTCCGATTCTCCAAAGCCTGAATGTTTTTTACTGGAATGGGCTTTAAGTTGCCTCTGCATTTTTCACCGTTTGTAATAAATGTGTTTGCTAAAGAAAAAACTCTGGACGTCGTCTCCACATTACGAGCCGTTTTCAGTTTTGAAAACTTTCGCTGGAGGACCGTCTGCGTCTTCAAGCTCTCTCTTTGGGGCTGCAGGTGCTGCAAGAAAAACGGGACACATCAAATCATCTTTAAATGTTTGAGAATGAGGATGCTGCTGCTGAGAATATGTAAAACAATGCGAAGTAATTATAATCTATTACATTTTGTATTTTTGTATATTTTATTGGGATTTTATGTGATAGATCAAGTCAATGTAGAACAATTGTTAATTGGAAAGAAAAATGCACATACTCCAATACTATACAGAAACTTGACTCAAAATAAAATTCATTGCTTTTAGTAGACTCGCATTTAGTAAATTGAGTCCAGTTATGCTGTGGAAATCCCAGGGATTTTCATCTGAATAAACAGCAGCATGAAAGTGGATAAAGAGCAGTGAGAGCGCTCACGGCGAGGAACCTTTTTACCTGGTTAGATCCTCTTTAGTCTGAATAGAGCAGTAGGTGTTTGTTCACACCAACTATTATGAACCATCAATTAAACCGGGGATTATTTTTTCTTGATTCTCCAATAAGGAAGATAATCGCACAGTGTGTAAATGAGTAACACACTAAACAAATTTGTTTGATGGGACATTTTCTTTCCACTTCACAACATTGTTTTAAAGTGTCGCAGAGAATATGACGACATTTTGGACTCCTGTATGTCATCTCAATATTTACACTTACCTTCCTCACCCTCGTCGTCATCCTCATTATCACTGTCAAATTTCGTTTTCTTCCCCTGGAACTGAGTCCTGCCTTGATCTCTGCCACCTCTTCCCCTTCGGCCTCCTCTTCCTCTGCCGCCAGATCTTCCTCTCCCGCCTGTTTTAACCAGACCCAACCTATCAGCACTTAAGAGTATCTTTGCTACTATTGCACAAGAATGTAATGCCTGGAGACAAAAACGTACCTCTGCCTTTTGATCGATTGTATGATTCCTGTTGGGCTTCGATGATCTTCTTCAGCATCTCTTTCTCTTCATCTCCCTCCAGTACCTGCCAGGTAACGCTGCTGCCCTTCATTTTCAGCTCCCCTTCGTTTGCCTCTTTGGCTTTCTCAAAGGCTTCTTTTGCGTTCCCATCAAACAGAAGCGTACCCTTCATGTGAACAATAACATTTTTAAAAAGTCTTCCAATGCTCTCCTGTTCCCATTTTTTTTTGTAAAAATTCACTTTTCAGACTTCATAGTCTTCTATGGCAAAATGTTTAACAGCAGTTGGAAATAAGAAAATTTAGGAAATAAGAGAAAAGGAGGCCAGATAAGGACACAGACATAAGGAAAGAAGAAAACAGGGAAGGTAGATAAAGGAATGATGGACCAAGGTCAGAAAATAAGGATTACAGACAAGGAGGACGAAATGAAGAAATGACAGACATAAGGAAGGAAAGAAGGGACAGACAAAAAGAAGAAATTAAAGGAAGAGAATAAAGTCTGAAAGTAAATTTTTTTCATGTTCTTTGCTTTTTCCATAATGTTCCAGACATGAATAATGGGGAAATACACCTCTGTACTTTTGCAGATTGTATAGGAATCCTTGCAGACAACAAACCTCGTTGGCTCCTCTTGTGAAGTCAACCCACTTTATCTTTCCGTGCCCAGAGAACGTGGCATGGAAGTCCTCTCTAGAAACATTTTCGAGCTCTCCAGAAAACTTCAACAAACATCCAGTCTGTTCATCCAGAAGCAAACCCTGCAAATCATAATAACTATCTCAATAAAAATGATCCAAAAGCAGAAATGAAGCTTTATGAGCACATGGTTAAGAAACCTTACCATTTCTTTTTCCTCAGCATTTTTCTGCTGCTGCTGTTTCTCTCTGTAAAATGTTTAGATAAGAAGGTGGATCAGATATTTTGCACAAAGTTTCTAATAGAAAGGCCATGTCCTGTCAACTCACTGCTTTGCTTTCGCTTTTGTCTCTGCTTTGTTGTTTTTCCTCTCTTCTGCCTTCTTTGCATGGTAGGCTTCCCTGAAAGAAGTGAAGAACAATCCACGCATAATTATAAGTGGGACATCATGTGGTGTTAAACACTTTTTATCCAGCTTCCTAAATCTTGGAAAGTATGAATTTTACTTTTAGCATTTGTCATGTCAAAACAAGGAAATAAGTGAAGCATGGAAAAGACTTACTGTTTCTATAGGATAATCAAAATTGCAAAAAGAGAAATTCTGGTGAAATTAGAGTCTCTGTTACTTCTGTTCAAAGCGAGAAAATAATTTTAATTTGTTATTATAGTTTATTTTGGCACCAGTCTGTTCACGAGAAGCAACCGAGCTCACCTGGACAAGACAAGCATCTCGTTGTCTTTAAATGTTTTTACATCCGTCCGTTCCAGGAACTGCTTCGCTGATTCCTCTGTTTCAAAACAGATGAACACGGATCCCTGCAAAAGACACGAATGAAATAAATATTCATTTCAAACCTTTTAACGACTAAAACTAGTGAGTAATGCTTTTCTTCTACCTTGAACTGCCGATGGATGGTTTTTCTCATCTGAATGCTTTCTATGCTGCCTTTCTCATTCAGCCATTCCTGAACCTCATCAAGAGTTGTTTCAAGAGGAAAACCTTTCTGTAAACGAAAAAGCACCATTAACAATAATACCAAAAATAAAGGAAAGAAATTACCATATTAGAAAATTCTAATATGGTAATTTTAGAATATTCTAAAATTACCTTTTTTTTTTAAATAAATTGCTCAAGGAAAAGACAAACAACTTCACATAAAGAGCCATGGATGACATAACCTGAATCAAATTCAAAAGTTGTTGCCTCATAGCAATCAGGGTTCCTGGATATTTTCTAAACTTTCCAGATTTTTTTATAAGCTCTCAGTTCTTATTGCAAATTTAAGACATGGTAGGCTTCAAATCTGCAGAAATACAGGAACAATTACAAAGGGCAGGAACCTTCTGGATTTACAACATTGACAAATGTAAAGTAAAATGGTTGTTTTTGTAGATATGAGTGGAAAAAATGGTTTATTGGAAGCAGATCGCACCAGTATCTTGAATATAATAAACAAATGTGTATGAAACTTACAATGTACACAGATCTGTGTTTCACTGCGTCTTTGTATTCATCATTCTGTTCTGGTAAGGGTTTATCTGGAGACCTCCTTATTTTTGTCTTGTCCTCACTGATCTCCAAGAGGCCAGACTTTGATTTCTGGAGTGCTGAAATGACGACGCTGATATCTGTAGTTAAAGCTTTCAGTCTGAAAGAGGACGAGGTGAAGAGATGGTGTTTAAATTGTTCAGATGGGTAAAAGTTGCACAGCGCAACAATGCAACTTTAGTTTAGAGCAACTTTAGAGCAAATTTAGTTCTGAAACAGTCTCACAGGGCACCTTGCTACAAATTTGCATTCTCCGATTTACCCGACTTACTCCTGGTACATCTGGCTTTCAACACTTTGCAACATTAAAGGATATTTCTATTCTATTCTGTATTTATGGCCACCCAGTCATGATGAGGACACTTCAGATGAATGGAAATACTAGGTCTGAACAGAGATTTTTATAATGAGCCAAGTATGAAAGACACCAAAAAATATTTTGTAGATTTTGGTGGACACTCCTTGAGTTTTTTTTAAAAAATCTCTTCAAATGTCAGTATTTCAATCCAGTACCATGCATCTGAGGCTCAGTGACGTATTTGTTCAATATTTGAAAAGAATGTGAAGAATACAGTAATATGAAACCCAATGCAACGCCAAAACACCATGACCCTCATATCATTCCCTCACTGCGATATTTATTGATTTGCTGGGGTTGAATTTATAAACTACTGGATGTAACTTATGTTTTTCTAACAATCCTCAACTCACACAAATGTTATTTGATTACAAAAGGATTAGTTGATATCTATATGAAGTTAGAGTTTCTAAAGGGAAATCAAACAAACCTGTTGAATCGAAGCATGGTTTCCAGCATCACCCAGCCATCATCAAGCTGCAGCTGCTCTTTCAGAAACTTGTCTCTTGGAAGGTTGTGATCCCCAAAGTAATACTAGATGAAAATAAAACATGTTTACACCTGAATATGTATATATATATAAAATAATATGATGACATTTTCTGTCTGTATTACCTCTATTTGACGAGCCACTTTCATCTCAATGGCAGACATCTCCCCTTGGTTTTCAGCCATCCTTCTCTGCAAAAACCAGTAATACAGTCAATCAGCTGTTTTATGGCACACTATGCTGTTAAATCTGTTGTCTCACATAGCTTATCAATTTTTTCAGGACAAGCAAATGTTCAAGTGATGTCGCCCTTGTTACTTGCCTTCTTGCTAGGCAATATTTTAATACAATAAAGCTTTCCTCCAGCTTTAACAAAAACATGTTATGTTCCATAATCTGTAGTGATCTTATGCCATGGTCCTGTTCTGTGCAATTCTGACAAAATTTCACTCCAGACTGGGATTAATAAAATATTAATTTCTCTTGTTTAAAATTCACCATCCTTAAATCTGAGAAAAGGAGAACCACTTTAATAGGAAAATCTAGTTTTTTGGGGGGTAAGAGTTTTTTAGTCCTCCAGGGCCAGCTTCCTGAAGCTTTTACTGCTTCACCACACCTGGCTTCAATGGTATCTCATTTGCAGAGCTCTGCAGCGCTTGTCTGCAGGCAGTTTCAGCATGTAATTCAAGTGTGTAGGACAAAGGACAGATCAATTCAGACCACTGCTTTAATACTTTAAGTATCATTGTATTTTATGACTGAAGAACAGGACACACTGTATAAAATTCACATTCTTTGGTGACATACTTTGTATCTCTCATAGTTTTCTATATTGTTTCAACCACGTTTGAATGATAAAACTTGGAGAACTGCACAGGTTGGAACTGTCACAATTGTTTAAAAAAATATGTATATAATCAAACTGAAAATGTATTAATAGTTCATGTTTGTGTATCTGCTCTGTCTTCTAAAACTCCCTGTTGGCTAATCTTTAGTTTCCTTGAAGGGAAACATCTTAAAATAATGTGATTGGTTTAACTAACTAATCAGTTGAACTGATTAGTTGATTATCAAACAGCTGAACTGTTTGATAAGTAGGATCAATTGGAAGGCATGTGTGACTGAACTGAAATGACTTTTTGTAAAGTGGAGCTATATGAATAAACTGATCAGAATTATACATTTTAATATCCTTTTTAAATTAAAAAATTTAATACAAATTCCATATGATGCATTTCTATAAAATGTACTTTAATGTATTCTTTAAACTATTCAAATCTGAACCTGTTTTCAGAATTTTGTGTGTTTATCTAGAGCTTTGATCCGGTTGAGTTTCGCCAAAACTGTAAATTGAACGCATTAAATCCGTTATGCTGGTGTGTACAGATGAAAATAATTGCTCACGTCATAGTACAAGGCCAAACTTATTAGGAATTGGGCACATACGTTTTTGTTTACATTATTTGACTCAAAGGATCATAAAACAACTGGAGGAGATTAATATTTCTTAGGCAACTCAGTCACCCTGGTTAGTCTGATGTTATATGAGAACAGCTCACAGAGGGAGTCAGATAGCTTAAAGGGGCTAACCATCCTGTTAGCTTAGCTTTTATTCAGCAGCTTTGGATATTCAAATATTTATTTCAGGCATTAATGCACAGCCAACTAAGTTAGTAGAATATTTTTACATTATAGTGAGGCTCATTTTAGTTAAACGACACTTTAGTCCGTAAAGTTAGCACAGCTTCCTGCAAGCTTCCATAAGCAGCATACAATTCACCGACGCACATTATAAAATTCCCCTCAGTCCCTCTAAAATCCATAAGCTAGCAAACGACAATACGAGCAGCACATTAGAGCATTCTCAGTATGATTGAATTAGGTACTTACGTTATGTTGAGTGTAAGTAAATTGCACTTTAAGCTCTAAAACACCAAAAGTCTTCACTACACTGCGCGCACGTTGTTCAACTGCGTGTTACGGCAAGTGCCAAGGGTCAAAAAGCGTTACCATCGCAGTTTCTTTCCAGGTCAAAATGTTGCAATTCAGTATAAAACCAGCAGGTGGTGGTGTAGTACTGTCTGCACGGCAGAGTGAGACGCTGGTGAGGTTCACCAGCGTTTTAGTTTCAATGCACAAATTAATGGTTGGTTTTATTGATATTGATAATTACACAAAAATATAACAAGTAAGGCAAGATAATAATTCAGTTCAATGAAATTTATCAACTCACAGTGACAACAAATGTTATGTCAAGATAATTCACAAGGCAAACAGGTCTAATTCATATCTATTTCTATTGAATCCAATTTAATCTAAATATATTTAAAAGCAATCCAGTTTAGTCCAGAACAATATAGTCATGTAGTTAGATTCAAATCTAATAGCACACGAACAGTCAAAGTAAGTTATTTTTAAGACCAGTGGTAGAAATGTATTCGAGGAAGTCCAATCATTTGCATAGATTTGTTGACATTGCAGCATTTCCCCTGTTTCGGGCATGAAATTGATGACTTGGAAAACAAATCAGTTCTACTTAATATTCTCTCAATTGCACATTTGTGCTCATTACTGAGTTAGTAGATAATATGTATTTCCTTAAATTGAAATAAATGATAAGATTGAATCAATTTTCACTTTTACCTAATCCGTTTCCAACAAATAGTGGTAAGCTTATTATAATGTTCTCAGTTGTGAATGAACTTTTTTTTTCTGGATGTTTGTTTTGTTGTTTTTTTAAACAGTTTGAAATAAATTCAGAAATCAAATAAAAAAGATAAATTAGAAAAATACTGCTAAATATTGCAATTCTGTTAGAAGTAGTTTACAATATGCAATCATCTCTGAATGTAAAACGGAGCCATGGAGTGCATCTCCAAACCAATAATATGGCCTCTGTGCTGTGAAAAATACATGCTACAAAAATGTGTTGTTGTATTGTTTTTTTTAAAATCATTATTATGAAACAAATGGTAAAAATATCTATTGATGATCATTCCATCCCAACACCAAAATGGTTCTGGTCCCCTTCTTTGTTTCTTTTTCTCTAAAATTACCAGAAATGCGATTATTAATATGAAAATAACATAAATTATTTTGGATAATGATATATTTGCAAATAGGTCTTTTGATCTATTTTGACACTGTAAATGGTCCATGGAAAGGAGGAAGTGGGTGTGAAATTTCTTTATTTTCTGTCACCAAGATTCTTTCTTTTCCATTTATTGATGCTTATTTTTAAATACCTTAAGCCTGATTGAAAGAGATCCCCAAAAAATTACTAAACCTATCATGAAACAACTGAAAATTAAAAACAAAAAAATTAACAAAAGAAGGTGTCGTCTTGTGCATGGAGAGTGTTGTGTTAAGGAGAAATGCACTGAATGTTTATGGAAATCACCCATTAAATCAGTTTAGCAGTTCAAGAGAGTGAGGTGATTTATTTAGTTAAATTGCAATGGAAGAGCAGTCCTACTATTAAAAATGGATTTCTGTCTAAACTTTTAAAACACTTAAAAATTAATAAAAACCTTTCAACAATTATTAAAAGAGAGAGACCCCTGAGATTTCACGTTGGCAAATGTACCCTGAACAGCTTACCAGATAATTTCGTCATCCACAGACTATTTCAAACTCTAGTGAAAGCTGTGAATAGACAATTCCATCTATTTTGTAAAAAAATTACATGAAAACGTGAAAAACGTCAATGAACGCTATGAACACATACACAACCATGTGACCTGGCGGGACTGGGCAGGGTCCCTACTATCTCCCAAGAGTCCAGCTCAGGGTCATATTTCTCAATGCTCTGTAAGTACGTTCCCTTTGAGTAGGAGTACCCCCCTGTTACATAAATACACCCACTTATCACCACAGCCCCACACTCCATCCTCCTCTCCTTCATCACTGATATGGGCTGCCATTCGTCGCTCTCTGTGTCGTAGCAATCTGCAGTGGTCGTCTGTCCGCCGACCAAGTACAGCTTGTTGTGGAGAGACACAGAACAAAGGCCATACTCTGGAAACACAAGGTTCAAACACAAGTAATCAGCTCGAAACAAATCAATGCTCCTTTTCTGACCCCTCTGATTACCCTTACCTGGATGTGGACTTAGTGTTACGATGCTCCATTCGTTGACATCTGGTCTGTAGACTTGGACTTTCTCATAGGTGCAGCTTCCTCTGTACCCATAATGGCCTCCAATCACATAGATTTTTTCTCCCATTACGCATGCAGTGGCATTTCCTACACCTTGAAAGGAAAACAGGGATGATACTGATCACCTGATCTTATGTCTGCTTAAAATGTTGTTCACTGATGTTTGTGTTCATTGATTTTTCTGGATGGATCACGGTTGTTTTTTCTCTGAAAGATTCTGACGTAAACGTGAGGCTTTGTGGGTGTTAGATGTCCAGCAGTAAGTTTACTTTGTCATAGCCACATTTACACCCCTTGAAATTTATCACGTCACATTGCAACCATAAACTTGTTTGTTATGGGGATTTTATGAAATAGACCAACACAAAACATCACTTAACTGCAAAGTGGAAGGAAAATGAAACGTTATTTTCAAAGTTTTCATCGATAAAAATCAGAAAGGTTTTATGTGGTTTGAAGACAGGCCCTTACTCTGACACCCCAAAATAAATTCCAGGGGAAAGTACTGCTTTAGGATGTCAACCAAATGGGATAATAGATTTCACCTGTGTGTAATTCCATTTTAGTAAAACTGCATTTGTTCTGGGACAGTTTGTTGGAGAACAGTAATCAACAGAGAGCATCACAAAGATGACGGAACATCCAAGGAATAAATTTAGGAAGTTTAAAGCAGGGCTAAACAATATTGCAACCGTTTTAAAATCTTAGAATGTAAGTCACACAGCTGCAAAGAAACTTATATTTTACCTAAACTGAAAGGCTGGGCAAGGATTGAATGTTCAGTTTACAGTTTTGCCATAATCTATGTAGGGGGTAGATCAGACATGTGGATGAACACCTTCAGTCATGAAGATCATGTGTTTTGGTCATCATTCAAAGCACAATGTGTGGCAGAAAACTAACACTGCAAATCAACTATAACTAGTGTGACACATGGGAATAGTTGGAAGCTGCACATAGAAGATGTGACAGGTTTACCTTCCAGCAAGAAGACAATGCAGAACCAACAGTACATGGGTCCAGACATAAATGTAATTGAGAATATGTTGCAATACTTAACAATTACGAGATTGGGGTTGATTGTCCTTTTTTGACCATAGTGCCCCTTCATGCCTTCAGGGTTAAACTGGAAATATTTTCAGGTGTCAAGTAACTTGTGTTTTAAAGTGCATATAATATGTCATGTTATATTTGATATTGCATACAAATGTCCAACATTTGCATGCAAGAGGGAGCAGTATTTTTAAAAAAATCTTTAACAGACAGTAAACCAAATTAAATGTAATGCATTTCAGTTTTCTTCCCATGAAATTGTTGTACCTTGGATCATTTTGGCCACTGGAAACCATCTCTTTTTCAAAGGATCATAAAATTCAGTCTCTTGCTCTGGAGCTCCTCCTCTGTAGCCTCCGATGGTGTAAACACAGCCATGTAGAGCCACTGAGCAGTGGTAGTACCTGGCAGTAATCATGGGACAACTCTCTGTCCATTCATCATAGTCACAGTTATAAACTGAAACAGTGTCCAGGGCTTCGACTGTGTTAGTCCTGTATCCACCAGTCACATAGATGTTTGCACCAAGCAGGCTGATGCTGTAGCTCTCTCTTCCAGGGTCGGGCATGTCTTTCCCCTGCACCCACGTATTGCTGACAGGATCCCAGATGTGCACTTCACACAGAGGATGCCAGTAGTATCCTCCAATGATGTACATACTGGGGGAAACTTTTCTGCTCGGAGGGATCTCCTTGCCATTTGACCTCATCGCCTGAACAATCATGGATTTTAACTTCCCATCGTTTTTTGTTAGATATTGCCTGTGCACCTCCAAGGAAGCGTTGAAGTAAATGTCATCCAGACTGAGGTGGAGAGAGTGGAGCAGGTCTGACACGTTGTGAACCCGACTATCCAAGTCATGGGACACCCACCTGACCACACCATCTATCAGCGCCTCATCTCCCTGCACAGTGAGGCTCTGATCCGCCAGAACAGACCTGATCTTCTCACGGTCCAACTCCAGGAACTCCTCTTGCTCCATGAGCTCCGGAAACCTGCTCAGCATCACTCTGCGAGCCTCCCGCTGCAGCCTGGGGCACTGATGGAGCTCAGCAAAGGTGTGCATGCCCAGGCAGTTGTCCACCTCCAGGAGACGGATGAGGAACTCCTCGCAGGCCTGCTTGACCCTGCTGAACTGCAGGAGGTCCGCAGCCTCCAGCAGGCTCTGCACGTTGCTCTCGGTGACGCGCACCCGGGCCGTGTAGACGTAGTCCAGCAGGGAGCCCAGCACCGCGCAGTCCACGCCGCTCAGCTTGATGACGCTGTCGGACCTCTCCCTCATGTCGGCCGTGAACATGACTTTGAAATAAGAGCTGCGGGCCGCCAGCAGCGCTCTGTGGCAGTGGAACACCTGACCGGACTCGCCACACTGCAGGGCCACGTCGGTGAACAGTCCGCGGGCGTAGAAATGCCTGAGAGCCTCCAGGAGCTCCGCGGGATGCTCCCCGTCACAGAAGTCATATGTGTAGATCTCGTTTTTATTAGACATTATATCTAGAGACAAAAAAAAAAGAAAGAAAAACGTGGCAAGCAATTTAATGCAACATTTTTTTATGTTTAAAATACAGGGACCGCGTGCGTACCCAATATCTGGCCATGGATGTTTGTTCCCCACCGACGCTCCTCGAAGCGCTCCTCTCCAAAACACATGAACCTCAATTTAGCTCCGGACTGTCGCAGGCAGCTCGATCCTATTTTGGTATTTGTGTGCAGCAGCAGTAGCGGGAGCCGCCCCCTCCTCCTCCTTTCTGCGCTCCAGTGACCAGGTCCTTGACAAAGCCAGTCCGGCACTCAGAGGAATCACCCTGAGCCGTTATTCTCCTCTCAGAGCCTAAATATAACCCCGACCCGCGGTCTCGTGACGCGCTCACCGTCTGCGCATTAGCCGCAACCACGCAGAGGGAGATCCGCGCGCACAGAATACAAATCAGACACAAACGAGCAGCGCCTTTCAAAACGACACCAGAGGAAGGAGCAGAGTGATCTGCGGGGCCCATTCATGTTTTTTACCCCACCAAGTCTCCCCGTTGCCATGGTAATCTGAATGCGGTATTCCAGTGCGACGGAGGCTTTAACGTAATCCTGACGTGGATTAGCGGGACAATAATGCTCTGTATTCCCTGCAGGACATATTTTCACACAGGATTAGAAAATATATATATATTTATTTATCCTTTGGACTTCAGTCAATTATGACCCAATATGCTTTAAAACAAGCATTACAGGCTCTGACGCAAGTGCTGAAAGTGTGGGAAGATTTTTTTTTTACCCGTTTTATCTCTTAGATAGACTAACTATATATTCTGCAATTGCATCAAACCGACTCTTGTATAATATTTAACAATATTAACTGGACTAGAAAATCAGTTGTTGTTTGTCATAATAGATTGTAAACGCTATTTCTTTTCTGCAAAGTTTTTTTTTAATATAATGATTTAACTTTTCGTCCTGGTTTGCAATGAACCCCATTTTAATGAGTAAATCATCAGAGTCAACACTTCATGAGAGACATTTTATTTAGGTTTTACGCCAACAAATTAAATGGACACAAACACTGGAATGCTCTAAAAATAATTTTAGATGTTAATGCGTGCAACTACTAAACAAACTGTTAGCTGTAAAGGCAAACAAAGAAAGCTTATTTATATTCAGCCCTCTTGAGGAGGCCAGGGTTCTTCACAGACTAAATGTTATTCTGGGACGGTTTTTGTTTAAATCCTGAGCTGTGCTGCATTCTTAACCAAGGGTTTCAAGACGCCGAGATCTTGCAGGAGGGAGGACACCCCGAAGCAATACCACACATCCCCGGTGTGGTCCACAGGAGCGCTGAAAGACTCAATCTGCACTCCCTCCGAGGCCAACACTCCTAAACAGAACAATTGGAAAGAAAACGCGGGTGTGAATTTAAGGAACAAAGAACACTGCAATTTAGAAATCATAATTGCAATCTTCCATCCTAATTAAATGGGATCAAAACAGAGGGAGAGAAAACAGTTTGGAGTTTCATACTGACTTTGACGACATTTATTCCAAAACTTCTCTCATTTTGTAGTAAAGAAGTGCAATCCACACTGACTAATGCTGTGATTGCAGCCATTGGTGCATCCACATGAATATTTATCCAATCACTTAGTTTAGGTGAAATATTTTTGTTTACTTGAGAATTTGTAGAAATAATTTTTTCACTGAAGAGCCAAAAATAATAGTTTACTTTTTTAGATTGTTCAACAGACAATGCAATAAAAGTAGGACAGAGACCAATACATTTTCACTGAACTGAAACTTGTTTGGTTACATTTAAACTAATTTTAGACGGTTGTCACTGTGTAACCACGCAGATTTATGTTTTTACTGCACATTCGATAGTAAGAGTGATCTACAAAGCAACCTCTCTTCCATCACACAACTGCATAGGTAACCATGCCGCTTTTAAAGTGCAGCATTTTCTGCCTCACCTGGTGAATTTTGACTCAGTTATATGTTGCTGGGCTCCAGCATGTACGACATCCGGAGTTGTCCTTGCTGATTATAAGAAAGGTTTTATTTTCCTTCATACAAAAGTCGCCTGTCAACATCTAACCCTACCCAGCAGAACGGGGAAAAACAGTGTAGTGCTGAGCGACAGCGACGCATTCACTGACATCAAGTAAATATGACTACCAAAAATAAATTTACAAGACGGACACAAAACCAAGTTCAGAAGAAATTAATAAACTACAGTGAACAATGAATTAACTTATAAACAAAACAGAATTGGTGGGGTACCTTATCAACTAATAAATTTGATGTCTCTCACACTCTCCCCCACTTTAAAAATGTCGTCTCGACATTCAAGTGTACAGGTTACAGTACAGTTTAGCTTCATTCTTTTTTTTTTTTTTTTTTTTTTTACCAAGGCCGCCAGTAACCTTGTACATTTACACATTTAGTAGCTACTGTTCCGTCTGTGGAACTTGGTTCTCCAAGTGCAAAATATGTCAAAGTCTGTGGTCTCCTTCGCTCTCTCCTGGGGCGTGTACTGGGCTGTCTTGCCTCTACAGCCTGTTCAATGTCAGAACCACTTTCCACATCCCCTGAGACCATGATGTCCACATCCTCTGGTTCAGCAATGTTGATATTTTCCTCATTAGTTTCTGTAGAATCACCCTGACCAACTTCTGTTCTGTGCAGAGATTTGTTGGCACAACTGTCCATTTGTGGCACAAATTCTGTAGCCAGGGGGTCCAGTTCAGGTGACCTGTTCGGCTCTGGAAGAGGCCATGTGAAAACCACATCAGAGAAATCCTCATCTGGAATCTCCTCCTCATTTCCTGTCTGTTGTGTCAGTTCCAAACGTGTTTGCCTCTGTTTGTTGTCATGTCTCTTCTTTGTATTCGTACAGGTTGCATTCGTGTTCTCATCTGAACACAGAGGGAGGAAATCACAGGGCAACAACATATTTCGGTGCAGAACTCTTGTCCTGCCTTTCCCATTTTCTGCCTCCAGTTCAAACACAGGACTTTCCTCCCCCATTTGACGCTTAACCACATAGATGTTATCTTCCCAATAGGAGTGGATTTTGCCTGGCCCTCCCTTTTCAGCCACATTTCTGACAAGTACACGGCTCCCGACTCGCAGTCCTGGACCGTGTATTCTCTTGTTGTACTGTATTTTCCCTCGGTCAGAAGACTTGGCTGCATTCCTGGAGGCAATGCTGTATGCTTCAGCCATCCTTTGTCCCCATCTGTCCACATAGTCCTGGTAGGAACCCGAACCTTGCTCTCGCTCAAGGCCAAAAAGAAGATCAGCTGGTAACCGTGGCGACCTCCCAAACAGCAAGAAGAAGGGAGAGTAACCAGTGGCATCATTAACAGTGCAATTATATGCATGTACGACTTTGTGGAGGTGATTTTTCCAGTCTGTTTTCTGTTCCTCCGTTAGCGTTCTTAACATCGACAGAAGAGTCCTGTTAAATCTTTCTGTTTGTCCGTTCCCCTGTGGGTGATAGGGGGTGGTGTGTGAGCCCTTAACACCAGACAGTTCTTTCAGGTGATGTATCAACCTGTTTTCAAATTCTCGTCCTAAATCATGATGCAATTTTTCTGGAAAGCCAAATCTGAGACAAAAGTCATTAAACAGTTTATCTGCCACCGTTTTTGCTGATTTATTTGTAGTTGCGTAAGCCTGAGCAAAGCGGGTGTAGTGGTCCATAACTACCAGAATGTACTCAAAACCACCTCTGCATTGTTCCAAATGCAAAAAGTCAACTGACACTAGCTGAAATGGGTGAGTGGTCTCTATGCTCAACATAGGGGCACGTGCCTGTCTATTAGGTTTTCTTTTTTTTAGACATTCACAAACATTGGTGACAAAATGTTCAATGTCCCTTTGCATTTTTGGCCAAAAGAAACGATCCCTAATCAGATTGAGTGTCCGCTCTGAGCCCAAGTGACCCATTTGTTTATGTAATTCATCGAGCACCAACGGATGGTACACTGAAGGAAGAATTAGTTGTTTTTTGGTTTTGGTTGTTCTAAACATTGTTCCATCCTCTGTGATTTTTAGTTTGCTCCACTCTCTAGCCAATGCTTTAAACTCAGGACTCTCAGTTTGGAGTTCATGTGCAGCAGGTCTTTTGTTTTGCAGCTTATACTCGTACATTTTACCTATTACAGGGTCTTGCTGTTGTGCTGCACAGATTTCCTGTCTTGGTATTGGTTGAATTGTCCAAAAGTCTCTCTGCTCCTGATTGTTGCTGCAGGACACCAAAAGAGACTGCATTCAACATTGGTGCTGGTTCTGCTTGCTGCACTAAGATACCCTGCTGTGTGGCTACTACAGCGTCTTGGCTAATTGTTTGTGTGCAGCTTTTCATATAGTCTTCAAAATCAAGGGGCATTCGAGATAACCCATCTGCATCTGCATTTGTTTTCCCAGGCCTGTATTTTATGGTAAAATTGAAGTCTGCCAACTCCGCAACCCATCGCTGACCTGACGCGTTTAATTTTGCTGTGGTCAGAACATAAGTGAGTGGATTATTGTCAGTGTAAACCACGAAAGATGGGGCATGAAACAAATAATCCCTGAAGCGCTCGCAGATAGACCATTTTAAAGCTAAAAACTCCAGTTTACCTGCATGCATATGATAATTTTTCTCTGGTGGGGTTAGAGTTCTAGATCCATAAGCTATAACTCGTAGCTTGCCGTCTCTGCGTTGATAGAGAACTGCCCCTAATCCTGCTTGAGAAGCATCAGTATGCAGCACAAATGGTTGGTTTAGATCTGGGTATCCTATAATAGGAGGGTTTGTCAATTTGTCAACTAGGCAGCACAGAATTTGATGATGAGTTTCTGTCCATTTAACAGGGAATGATGAGGGCAGCTGTCCCCTGTTCAGTTTGTTTTTCCTCTGTTTTCTACTTTTCTGGTTTTTTGAGCCTTGGATGGGGTTTTTAGCGTCTGCTGGGGTTGCAATCAGTTCATATATTGGTTTTGCGATGCATGAAAGTCTTGAATATAAGATCTGTAATAAGACAGAAAGCCCAAAATCTGTCTCACCTCTCCCACTGTGCTGGGTTGTTTTTCTCTGAGTGCCAGAACGGGGGCAATCTCTGCTGGATCCATGCTATGACCCTCTTTTGACACCATCCTACCCAAGAACCTAACTCTTGGCTTAAAAAGTTCACACTTCTTAGCAGTAAGTTTAACCCCATGTTTCTGGTATCTTTGTAAGACTGCTCTTACATGTTCAACATGGTCCTCAAATGATTTACTGTGAACCAAATTGTCATCAAGATAAGGTAGGCAGACATCATCACGCAAACCCCACAAACACTCCTCCATGCTTCTCTGAAATTCTGCTGGTGCTGAACTGAGTCCAAATGGGATTCTAGTCCATTGATATAAACCCCATGGAGTAATAAATGCAGTGAGTGGCTGGCTGTCCTCATCTAAAAAACCCTGATGATAAGCCTTTCCCTGGTCCAATACTGTAAACCAGGAGCTACCGGTCAGGCTGTCCAGCATGTCTTGTATTCTGGGAATAGGATGTCTATCAGGTACTGATTTGCGATTAAGTTCTCTATAATCTACACAAAGTCTGAGCTCGCCTGATTTTTTTCTCACGCAGACTATCGGCGAAGAATAGGATGACTTTGATTTTGTAACCCAGCCTCTGTTTATCAGATCCTGCAGGTAGGTTTTTACTTCCTGGTGCAGGGGTTTAGGCACACTAATGTAGGTCTTTTGAACTGGTGTCTGATCTTTGAGGGTAATGTGCATGCGAAGACTGGGAATACAACCAACATCACTTTCGTCTTTGGCAAAAGCTTTACACTCCTCTCTGAGCATTGTTTTCACTGCAAGCTGCTGCTCACCAGTTAAATGATCTAACTGTACAGGAGGATCCCAAACGTTACTCATGTCACTGCTGGCAGGGGATGAGGCTTTAACATCTGCATCACTTGTCATGTTGTTAGTTTGTTGGTTCTCTACTGGTTGCAAAGCAGCTGGGTATATTGCTTTTACAGCCTCGATGTGGCCTAGAATAAGGCGTGGTTTTAAAGTTACATTATAACCTGTGGTGTTGGTGACAGACACCGGGACCAAGACTGAGGTGCCCCTCTTCACTTTAAACAGCACCTCTTGCATATGAAGTCCTTCTGGATTGCTGGTATTCAGAGTAGGACAAAATAACATTACAGTGTCCTCGTCAGCCTGTATGTGGGTTCGACAACGAATGGTTCGAGTTTCATCAGAGCCAAGGATAACTTTACGCCATCCTGTTTTTACTTGAATCTCCTTTCCAGGATTCTGGGATGTCTGTATTAACTGGATGATAGTCTTTGCAGAATCAACATCAATGTCAAAAGCACTGCTCACTATGTTAGCAATATCATTTTTATTACCTTGTTGCTCCAATTGCTCTTTGATGACTTCCTCTATCACATTGTACCCTATTATAGGGTCTTGAGCCACATTTGGGTCGCTGGAGACGAGCACGGGCACTAATAGGCTAGAGCTGGATGTTTTAATCCCAGTAAGTTTAAAATCTATGGGAATCCACCCCATAAATGGTATTTCCGTTTGATTAGCAGCAAGCCCATTTAATGGTTCTGGTCCCAGAAGCTCATCTATCTCCCTTATAGTGGTGTGAGGCAAATGCTCTGCTCTCCAGTTGTCATTTATCACTGTAGCCTGTGCACCTGTGTCCCACAGTGCTACAACTGGTGAATTGTCAAAAGTGCAGCTCACCATTTTACGCCTACCAATTAGCTTTACTAGTTTCTTCCCCTTTTTATCTGAGGAAATGTCAAAATTTTCTACAAGTGGAAAACAACTCTTTTCATTTTTTTCACCCAGATATTGTTCTGCTAGTCTCACAGCTTTACATGTGTGCTTATGTCTGTGCCAGTGTTTGTCTGACATGCTTTGGAACAATACATGGTAGCTGAGCAACCTGAACACCTCTGGAGTGGAGCATCAACTGTTTCTTCCCGGTGGCAAAAAAGGCAGCAGCGGGACTCTACATGTGGTGGCTGGGTCACTGCTGGTCCATGGCAGTGGCCCTCCGATGTTTTCCTGCTGCTGACGTGGAGCTCTGCATCCTCTGGAGATGTGACCCGGCTGGCCACATTTGAAGCAATGGGTGCAGTCGTCTCCTTTTCCATTGCTCTGGCAGGCTCTGCAGCCCCTCCTTCTCTGGGTACCCCTGGCGTCCGATGTCCTCTTTGCAGCATGCCACTTACTGGTGTTCAGGGAAGCGATGAACATCTGCTTTACCTCTGCAACCTCGTTTCTAAGTTCGCTCACCAAGGTGTGCATTTCAGGTGGAGCAGGAGCTGTCGTCTTTTCGTCCTTGGTTTGAGATCTGCTACGTGGTTCATCTTCAGTGAGCAGCTGGTTGATCCTTGTGGTTTTTGAGCCGTTTCTCTTAATTTATTTAGCCGCTCTGTCTCAAGATTTGAAGCTTCATTAAGTTTCTCAATCAGTATTTCATCGGTCACATCAGGGTCGTCAAGAAATGTCTTGATCTGAAATTTGATGTTATCATTTTGCAGTCCTGTACCCACTGATCTTAAAAACTTTCTTCTCACCAGGTCCACGCTGTAGTCTCTGCTTCTTCATTCCTGGATGCATATAAAAGCCTGTCTTAAGCTCTATGGCCCTGAATAAAAAATCTTGAGCTGACTCTTTTGGGTCCTGGGAAAGATTAACCAGTTTTTGGTACAAGTCAGATGTGTCATCTTCTCTGTAATGTCCTTTTAATATCGTCTTTAACTGTGGGAGCGTCAAATCGGTCTTTATTTCCAGCATATCACGCAGCTTAAGACCAGGGCTGATTGCTCTTATCACTGCTTCAATAACTTCGGGCTCACTGTGACCCTTCCGGTCCATTTTCTATCTGGCGCAGCAGGCTGGTGTAGGAGAGCCGATCACGCTGATCGCTCCCTCCTATTTGGCCACAGATGCGAAACTCACGGCGAATAGTCACCTCCGGTACTTTGGCTGATGAGCTCAACCCGAAGCCGGCAGCGGCTTCCGTTAGTCTGAGTTTTTCAGCTATGGCTTTGACCTCCCCTTCCAGCTCGTCATATTTGCTACTTGTATCGAACGAGTGGAGAATTCCACGACGCTCCTCTTTAACTTCCGGTCTGCCCAGAGCCCATAAAAGTTCCTTTACAAACTGCACAGCGTCATTTAGCGTGTAGCTGTGTTCAACTTCATCCAGCTTATATTCTACAGCCCTCATCAGCTGGCGTCTGGTACTTTCTTTCGTGGGCTCCTCCTCTGTAGCAAAGCATTTCAGTTGATAACTGACTTCCAACAGCCGATCGCGACTTAACTGACAAAGCGCGGCTGTGACTTCGTCTCGCAGAGGTTCCAGTTCCATTGTGGGGACTCATAAAAATGTTCTCATACCCCTTGGATGAAAACTGTTCTTAAATCTTTTAAATTTTAGGTCCGATGGTCGGAGAGGGTTTTACTTGAGCGGCGCACAACGGTTCTAAACGTCTCCGTTCTTGCGCCGAAAATCCTTTTAAAACATCTCTCCTGGCTGGCTCGCCATTATATGTTGCTGGGCTCCAGCATGTACGACATCCGGAGTTGTCCTTGCTGATTATAAGAAAGGTTTTAATTTCCTTCATACAAAAGTCGCCTGTCAACATCTAACCCTACCCAGCAGAACGGGGAAAAACAGTGTAGTGCTGAGCGACAGCGACGCATTCACTGACATCAAGTAAATATGACTACCAAAAATAAATTTACAAGACGGACACAAAACCAAGTTCAGAAGAAATTAATAAACTACAGTGAACAATGAATTAAACTTATAAACAAAACAGAATTGGTGGGGTACCTTATCAACTAATAAATTGATGTCTCTCACATATAGGCCTGTCACGATTAACAATAAATTAATTAATCGCATAATAAATGAAAGTTATCGACCTCATTTTAATTTATCGGCTTTAAAAATTCATTTCTGCCTTTTTCTCTTTCTATTGATGACACTGGATGAAAAATTTGTTATATGTTGTATTTAGTATTTATTCAAATGCATTTTTGTTAACGGAGAATGAGAGTCCATTTTACTTTCGTTTTTGGCTGTTTACCAGTTCCAGTGTTAAATGTTTTTTTTTAATTAAAGTGTATTTATTTTTGGCAGAATATATCTTGCATTATTATATATATTAATACAAGATATATTCTTGCATTAAAATGGTCTTCAAACAGCATTATCGTTTATCGCAATATGTTTTGAGGCAGTTAATCGCTCAGCAAAATGTATCGTGACAGGCGCACTCAGTCGTTTGTCTTCTTACCAGCCACAGAGGGCAGCAGTGGAGGATCCGCAGAAGCTTGGAGAAACAGCAGATTTCCGGTCAGAGAGACGGGCTGCCTGAAGACGCTGCCGCTCAGCTCCAGCAGGACAGGAACGCCTCCTTGAACCGATCCGCTCCCTCGGTAGCTGTGGCCGTCTGCCACCACCTCCACCTTACACAATCCTGCCTCCTCAGATGCACAGTGGCTCTGATTCACCTGAAAATCAAGTTACATGAATCAAAAAGTATTTAAGTATTTGCCATGTGGGATTTATTATGATAAGTTCATTTCCTACCACTATTCCACTCTCCTTGGCGAGGCTCTGGACGTTGATGAGATTAGCACTACGTCCAGATCCATGATTCAAAAGTCCCACAAGTACAGCTGAGGTCAAATACCCCCCACAGGCTTTCATGGAGTCCCCTGACCCTGATTTTCAGATAACAGTTTATAATGTTACAAGAACTTGAAAGCAAGGAATGCCTTTCACAGCAGAAAGGTTTATCATAATATAATATTTAAATATGACATAAATATGAGGCAATTATGTCCTTTATGCATCAACACTGGCTTGTTTCATGGTTAGACCACTAGAGGGAGGTAAAAGAAAAGCCTTTTGCAATTTTACACTTTCAGGAACTAGTTCTCCTTTTCAGATCATTGTGACAAACAGGTTAGATCAGTTAGTCATTTGACCTTGAGTGATGATGTGAATATGACTGAACGGTTTCCTGGAGGCATTGCAGGAGTGAAGCACCGCTCCCACAGCTTCTCCAAGTCGGATCAGCTGCTGAGACTCCTGGGAGAACGTGCCGGCTAAAACCTGAGCATTTACCTGCACAAAAAGGACAAAAATGAACAGTTTTAAAAGAAAACTTTTTTTCTTGTTTGTTTTGTACTTGCATGTACTGCTATTGCATATAGGATCATTGTAAGAGTAAGATTTATCTCAAATTCAGTAGCACTTCCTGAAGGTTGTTTACTAGTTGCATCTGGGTTCAAGTCTGGAAAGGGGAAATGTGTCAATAGATAGTCAGAAGTTAAATGTTCCACTTCTGGGGTGTCAGTGTATTAAGACAGGAACTTTCACCCACCCAACAGAACAAAGAGGAAGCTTGTTTGGAAAGGTAAAACGATTGTCCTAAATTCAACAAATGCATGAATATTTTTGAGCTCGACAGCTAAAGTTAAGCAATGCAGCCCACCTTGCTTTTGTAGGCAAACACATTTTAGTGACTCCTGTTTTTGAATCTTAAGCTTTTTTTTGTTTTGCAAAAAATATAGTTGCTTTAAAAAGTTATTTTGAATGAAAGATGCAGGACATTCGAGTGGCACTTACTGTTCCGACCAGGTTCCTGCCGTTCACCATGTCCACAATCTGCAGGGCGATATCCTCGCCACAGCGGGCCTGAGCCTCCTTGGTGCTGGCTCCAAGGTGAGGACAGCTGATGACATTCGGATGGTTCACCAGAGAACGGTTCTTAGGTGGCTCCTGCAGCCAACAAACACAGAAAAATAAGAACTAGATCAGAGTAGTATCAGAGTGACTTTCTGATACTAATTTTCACTTAATTAACAGAATACAACTAATTTTATTCTATTATTTCAGTTGAGAGTCATTAATTCTTTATTTTAGGATCTGAGGTGATGCCACATCATGGCCCTCATGCATGAAAAATGTACACAGCGAATAAAAATTGATTTAAGGTTGTTTTTTTCTATCAAGTTTGAAGTTGGTGTCTAAATGACATTTTTGCATTCTCTATGACTTGTTGAAATTGTTTTATTGCCCAGCACTAGTTTTTGACCTGCCACCCACAGACTGGGAAGAATTAAAGTAGGAAATCACTAAAATCCAGTCACTACCTAATTCCTCCAAGCGTCTCTAATAAAAACAAAATTGCTTCAGAAACTTCAGAGAAACTCTGTCGATTACGGAGAGATATAAGTGACTTAGATTTCACCTCAATAAAAACATCAAGTCCAGCTCCTCCACACTGTCCAGACTCCAAAGCTCTTAGAAGAGCTTCTTCATCGATGATGCCTCCTCTTGCACAGTTCACAACCTTCACTCCTTTCTTGCACTTTGCAAATGTCTCATCATTGAGCAGACCTTAAAAATAGAACACATGGCATTAGTCTGCATATTGTTGTTGTATCCATCATTCTATGAGGACAGAAATTCTCACCAACTGTGGAGGGCATCAGAGGAGTATGGACAGTGATGTAGTCACACTGTGGCCAGAGCTGCTCCAGAGACATTTGCTCCACTCCCCAACTTGCTGACACCTCAGGCGGAGTGATCGGATCATAGCCGATCGTCTAGTGGGAAGCAAAGAAAACGAGCTTGTAATATTTATGTAAGTGTTACAATCCAACAAGTCTCATCATGCTTGAGTGTCTTGACTCACTCTCATGCCAAATGCTTGCATTCTTGTGGAAACCTCCTTTCCTATTCGTCCCAGCCCGACAATCCCGAGCACTTTGCCATACAGCTCTGCTCCCATGAACTGTAAAAGTGAAAACAAAGACCCTAAATATGGACAGAGAAGAACCAGCTATCACATTTGATTACTGACAACTGAATGAACAATGGAGCCAACCATGCAACTTAAACTGCCGTACATGCCAAATCCAAACTTGTCCCAGATGGAAATTTCCACGTACCTTTTTGCGATCCCAGTTGCCTTGTTTCATCGACATCGCAGCTTGAGGCACATGTCTAGAGACCATAGAAATTATATCAGACGAATATATAGATATTAGGCAACTATTGTATGTTTATTTTTACAAAAGCCTCTTGCCTTGAGAGGCTCATCAGCAGGGCACAGGTCAGCTCAGCGGCACTGATCGTGTTGCCACTTGGTGTGCTGAAATGGAATAAAATGGACGGTGGGTTAAATTGTGTGGCTCAGCGTACAGAATGTTTGCCTTAAGCTGCACACTGACTTCATGACAATGATGCCCTTTTTGGTGGCAGCATCAACATCCACATTGTCCACACCGGTCCCAGCTCTCCCAATAATTTTGAGATTATCAGCAGCATTTATAACGTCCGCAGTCACCTTGGTCGCAGATCTAACAACAAGGCCATCGTAGTCCTAAAGTGTAAAACAAAGCACAGAGTTATCGCTGAATTTAGATTGGCAGTCATATAAATAGACTAAATCATGCACACGAAGTTTCAAACTAATCTCAAAAAGGATGCATGATATATCAGCACTGTTGTTTATAATAAATTTTATATATATATATATATATGTGAGGAAAAAACCTAGGCAAATAGGTGCTGCTCTGCTACATAGGTACTTTAAAAGATTAGTTAATACATTTATTTTCCTCTTTCTTCAGGTAAATCAATTATTATTAGGCTACACAAGTTTTATCAAACCAAAAATTCTAAAGTAATATTTCACATTAGACTAAAGTATTGAGGGTGAATATTACTTAAAAATAATCTGTGCAAGTTCATTTTTATTATATCAATACAAACTGCTGACACTGAAACCTGAAATTGTAAACAAAAAGCTGCTTTTGGAACAGTAGTGTAATCACTAATTAACTCAATTGAAATTGTAAATTAAATAATCCCAAAAGAAAGCTTTAAAATAAAAACTTTGAAAAAAAATTCATAAAAAAATCACACGAATCAACTTGATTAATAATGATAGCAGCAGAGAGGGTGGCTTAATGGTGTCCATAGCAAACACTTGACCCAAGGATCCAATAGATTACGTGTCCGGGCCTGAACACTGCAGTGCATTCACATTTAAAGAGGAAAAGTTCATTAATCCACTTTAAATGTTCTTTTAATAATTGGGAGTAAATGCCCATTCCTGCTGATCTCGACGTGGATCTGATAAGAGGTGCCCACACTCTGCAGCATGTGGGAGTGATGGGAACTCAGGGAAGAGTTGCATCAGCTTCACAATGGGCGGAACTGAGCTGAAGCCACTTTGCACATTTAAAAAGCGCTTAATCAGCGATACGTCCCAGTCAATTACTAAAACAGATGATCTCCGCTTTGTTTGTTTTGTGCGTGTGTGTGTGTGTGCGCGCGCGTTTCCCAAGAAAAGTGCAGCACGTTTTCCGCCGGTGCAACTTTTCCTCTGCAAAAACAGGCAGCAGGTTTTACGCTTCTCGAGAAATCACACGACGGCGACACCAACCTTGATCTCTGCGACTAAATCCTCCTTTTTCATATTCTGCTTTTCAGTGACACGGATCCCATTTTCCTCCAAGATCGCCCTGCAGCGGGGGTCAACGCTTTCACTGATCAGCACAGTTTTGATGCAGATCGGAGCCATCTTTGGAGAGGAGGGGTCTTTCTCTGCCTGCTGGTCGCCGAGGGGCCACTGGTGGATGTGGCAGTGAAATGGTGCACACTGTGAGGGAGTTCCTCTGAATGGCTCTCGCTGATTTCCCAGGAACCCATCTTTTTTCAACTTGGTCCCGCCTCTCGTGCATCTCCTGTTCTGACGTAACCGCACGTGCACGCTGGAAAACCAGCTCAGAAAAATGGCCCTTAAGAAACTTAACGCATTTGTGGTTGACGGAAGAGTGTGCTTTCACTGCAAGGAGACTGCATGCAGATTCAACTGAACTAGATTTCCATCAGATGACTCAGGTTTTATAAAACCGAAGCCATAAGGATCATGCAAACAGTAAATCTTCTAACAGGAAACGGTTTGAAAAATATTTTAAAAATACAATTGCGCATAAATGTCACTAAAAATTTATTTCAGATCTGAATTTTGCCCAACATTTCGCAAAATTCACGTAATTTGACTCACTCTTTCATCTTTGAGGGTTGAAGAATTGAATACCTTGTTTGAAGTCACAGACTTTGACTAGGCCACTCAAAAACCTCTATTGGTTTTGCAGAAAAACTATTTAAAACTTACTGGTGTGGTTTGTGGTATAGTTTTACTTGAAAAAAATTCCTAAAATACACCTTGCCTTAATTTTCCAGATCATTTGCACACCCAGAACAGCTCATTAAAATCTCCAACACTGTCCCTTTAATGACGAGAGAACCATGTTGTTTTACCTTTTACCCTAAATGGACTGTGAGTGAGGTCACAGGAGTCTTAATTCAATAGATGATGTTTGGCGCCTGACTCGTTAGGCTGCACATGACATCTCCCTTATCCTTTTAGTGTTCTATACCCATCTGTCTCTGTTTGAACTGAAAGGTATTTCTGATAATGGTAGTCATCTGGTGTGAACTATCTTCTTTTTCTTGGTCAATAAACAGAGAAGAGCTGACTTGCACATTGACAGGTAATGTCAACTGGGGCTTTTGCAATAGTGGCAACATTTTCAACAGTTTGTACAAAAAACAGTTTTGTTGAAAACTGCTTTTCGATTTTCAATAAAACTGACAAAACTTTAATTTTTCGACATATCTTAATGTTTCATGCACTTGCTCACACTCAGAAATAATGCACAATACGCTGCAAGGACACCACTGTAAAATCTCTTGAAAGATTGTGTTTGCATGGCTGTTAACTTAAAGACAGCCTCAAGCCACAGTGCAGGGGACAACACTCATAAAAGGCTTGAGAATAGCTAATGCCTGCACATCTGCAAAAACAAAACAAAACAAAAAACTAACAAAAAAGAGTCAGATGTAAAAACCGTCAATAATCCAAGTTGGAACAGTTAGAAGGCAAATACTTTTAATAAAAGATTGTTGAATGACACATATAACAGCATTTGTTACCAAGACCATGCTGCCTAAATTGTAAATCAGTGTTAATTTGATTATTTGAAGTACAGCCAAGACATCCACTGTGTAATGGTGTGAAATATACACAATTGTATCCGCCACAATACAAGTTTATCACAGGGATTATTGTTAGTAGTGTCATCTATCAATATTAATAAAGTTTGTGTCAAGCTTTCAAACCAAAACCTAGTTTAACTGATTTGGATTTGATGCCAATGGAAATGGCCAGTGAACTGAACTGAGATGACCCCTTTTGGGCTGTAAACAAACTGACAATGTTAACCATGTAGCTCACAGCAAATTATGCAAGAAATCATCAACACTTTTTCCGCTTACAATTTCATTTAAAAAGAATAACAAGTAAATAAGGTGAACGTTTTAATTACTTCAGTGTTTAATGATAAAGTGCAGGGCCTCTTGAGCCGTCACACTTCCGCGGACTGTATTTAGGCAACCGATTGGCTCCTCGGTTGCCTGGACACAGTTCAACAGAAGCCAGAGCGTTGAGTTTCACCGTGACAGGTTCTGATTGGTTGTTGAGGTCGATCTTCGCGCTGTTAGTGAGGATCTAACTCATATCGACGTTGGTTGTTTGTAACGCGAAAGCAAATCCTTAACTTTCCAGTTCGGCATTTGTGTCTCAAGGAAGCTTAAACCGACAGCGGCATCTCGACATGACGTCATCGGCTCCGTGCAACGGGAGTCGGAGAGCATTCAGTCAAAGCGGTGAGAATGAATTTTAATGAACCCCCGATTTGTTATTCTGTGAATGTTTTCATCGAAATAAAACTTATGAAAGTACATTAGAACTGTTTATTTATTTTTTGCTGAAGTCATACACACTGCATTTATTTTCTACAGTGCCTTTGAACAATCCCAGCCTTTTAGGGGTTTTTTTTTGTTTGTTTTTTGCACATTGCATCTCAAATTTCAATGCATTTGATTTGGGTTTTATATAGCAGACAACAAAACAAAACAAAAATAAAAATAACAAAAACCTGAGAATTATCGTTTTGAAGACTTTTTACAAGTCAGATTCTGTATTTCTATTCCCCTTACACACTGTACTGTATCTTAGTGTAAATACAGCTGTTTTGTGATGGTTTCAGAGGCTTTTTTGAATACTATTATATGTTCATTTCATCATGAAGAGCAAAGCAATATTCCATACTTAAAGCCTGTGTCACCATTCATCTGAAAATGCAAAGAGTATGATGAAACCTAAACAGACAGAGTGAGCAATCAGAGAAGCAGCATAGCTTTCCAATAGTAGTCCACTGGTCAAAGTGCATGGAAAAATCTATTCCGTAAATTACAGGTAAGCCCTGCAAGAAACCTTGTTAGAGACGGGAAAAGACCTGAGACTGGTGCAGAGGTTCACCTTCCAGCAGGACAATGACACTAAAACAACCCCTGCACAATAAATCAACAATATATAATGTGACAGACATATGATCAACATCAATAGGAAATGCATCCAATAATATGTTCAGTGACTGTGCAGCGTTCCGTGAGCTTTGAATGGCATTTGTTATCTTCACACTTTGCAGTTAATTTAATAAGATTGATTGCAAAGTCAGCAGAAAACATCAAAGTTTTTGGTTGCAATGTTATAAAATGTGAAAAGGTTCTAAGGGCTTTAACAGAGCCCTGCATTCTGCCTGATGCATTGTGTTTTATATTTGCAGCCCTTTGTCTAGTACATTAGCACATTCTGGGTCAATTTGCCCCTTGGAGGGAGGGTTTAGAAACGCAAACAAAGAAGTTACCATAGCAAAGTGCAAACAGTCAATCAATAATCTGACTTAAAACAATTTTACAGCAAAATACAAAAAAATTAAATTACCAATAAAATGTTAGAAACTGAGTCTGTTTTTCTTGTTTTTATGTCATTATTTGCACTTTTTCAACCAGGAAAGAAAGACAAAGTATTCCAGCCTCCAGATCTCAGACAAATCACCATACTAAAGCAAACCGGCTGGCACAGGATTCAAGATGAAATGAACGGGGTCGATAAAGAAAAGGAGCGTCTTAGAGAGGCAGCCAAACGCAGGGAGGCCCTGCACCTGCAGTCCAAGGAAATTGTTAAGCTCTGGCCTGACACTATTGCTGTAAGTTTGAGTATAAAATCTGACATGGGCGATGCTGTTTCTTGGAAATCAAAACATGAAACGTGAACTAACTGTGCATCTGCATTTGTTTTCAGGGTCAAAGGCAAAAAAAGCTGGAGGCTAAGAAGCTCCGAGAGGAGATGGAGGAGGAAAAGAGGAAAGAAATGGCTGCAGAGGAAGCCAAATACAAGGAAGAAGAGCAAAAAGAGGCCCTGGCGAAAGCCAGAACTCAGCTGTATTATCAAAATGACCGGGTGAAAGGACTAAACGTCAGTACAAGCATTACAATTCAGCAATGTAGATATTACATCTAAAGAAATCTGACAAGTCAGTGTTGCTTCCTCCACAGCGTGCACTCCTGCACACAGAGGTGCTGAAAGAGAGGGAGGCTCAAACAGAGCTCAAGCAAAGGATGAAAAGTGCCACTGAAGGCATGGATAAAAAGTTCCTGGAAATAATGACAACCAGAAACAGTGAAGCCCTGAGGAAAGAGCAGGAAAAGGCTGTGCAAAAGAAGCTTGAGAGACAGACAGTAGCAGAAGACTTGAAAAACCAGTGAGACCACTTTGCCTCACGTTTCAGACTTCTTAGTAATGCTGAAACCCCCTCACCCCCCCAAAAAAATCTAAATCAGAAATATTTATCTTTTTTAGAATAAAGGCCAACGAGTTTGCGCGGGAGCAACAGAAGCTGGAAATCAAGAGGGACGCTGAGGAAATCCAGCAACTTCAGGAGCGTCATCAGAGGGAGCAAAGAATGGAGTCCGAGCGGCAAGCCAACCAGAAGAGGAGCCTCATGAACGCTCACCTGGTCAGTCAGAAAAGACCAGATTGCACATTCTTTGCGTCCAGACTTTACGGTCTGTTTATTTGTACGTTTTGTGTCCCTCAGGATCATCTCAATAGTAGGGCACTAAGAAAAGAGCAAGAGGCGCAAAAGCAGAAGGCTGAAGAGGAGCAGATGAAACTCTTTCTTTCAGCCAAGGAGCAAATGACAAAGCTACGGAAGCAAAGAGAGAAAGAGTTATTTAGGTCCTGCAAAACATGAAATACAGATGGATTTATTTATTACTGAAAGGTTTAAATATTTTTGCTATTCAGTTTAAATAGATGATCCCACATATTCATTGCAGAGAGTGATCCATTTCAAGGCTTTGTTTACATTAATTGAGTGGAAGGAAAAAGTGTGGTGGAAAGATGCACTCGTAGTTTATCGTCTGCTACGATTTCTCGATCGAGTTGCTCATTTGAGTCTTTTTGTTTGTTTTTTTCTCCAGTGAAGTTCAGCAGCGAAGAGAGAGGATTTTGAACAAGCTGACAGCCACGCAGCAGGAGCAGGCCACAAACGAGGAGCAGAGGATCGCTAAAGCTCTGGCTGAGTGGGACGCAAGACAGGCGCAACTGCAGCTGGAGGAGGAGCGGAAGAAGTCTGAGATGTTGAAGTCGATAGCTGCACACAGGGAGCTTTTGGTAATGCAGCATCATTCATGAGACTTGACACAATGGTTGCAACAACTTTCCAAATACAAATTGTTTTATCAGAGAAAGGAAAAGGAGCACTTGGATAAAATTGCAGAGCAGGAAACCCGAGACGCTCTGCAGGCAAAGAGAGAAGCCGACAAAATATATGCCAAGAAGCAACAACTGAAGGCCGAGAAAATGAGGGAAGAACAAAGAAAATTGCACGACTTCAATGTTGCACAGATGGTAATAGCTGAAAAACTCCACCACTATCTGCCTCAGCGTTTATGACTATTGATATCTGACCGTGAAAAACTTGGTTCTCTTCCAAACGCAGGCAGAAAGAAGCGCCAGACTTCAGCAGATGAAAGACGAGGAACGAGATTTTGAAGCGACGAGCGCAAAGCTCAGCGCCGAAGAAGAACTCAAGTTTCAGCAGTATTCACAGCACATCATCAAGGCAGCAGCAGAGGCCAGGAGAAATTTGATTCCACTTTACAAAGCCACGAGAGAAGGAGTGGGAGGCGGGCACGGCCCCGTTTTCAGCGGGGTTCGGCCCAGCTACCTCGTCCAGGACAGCACTGGAGCTCAGATGCCCAGATACGTGTCCATCACCACAGAGAGCATCAGAAAGCTGAACGAGGCTGGAGACATTCACGAGGCAAAGAAGAGACTGGGCTTCACCTGGTGAATTTTGTAAGATTTTGTCACTAGGGCTGCAACTATTATTTTAGTGATCAACTATGTTATTGTAGAATCAGATAAAGTGTGTTGATTTGCAATTATCCATCACAGATCAAATATCAGTACCGCAGGACTCACTTCTTTTAGTGCATATTTGCTTCATTGTATAGCTGAAGACTGTTTGGTCTCAAACTGAGCTGTTATCAAACGGAAAACTGAAAAATTTGAGGTAAAAAGTCCAACTCTGGGATGTTTAGTCTTGAATTTAACTATAGTTTATAAATGGACAAAGCGATTATATAGCATGTTGACCAGGAAACGTCAAGAACCTAAAATAGCAGGTCAACATGGAGCAGATAAGCAGTTTCATTTCCATGTGTCAAAGTATACAAACATACAGTCTCAGCCATCTTCAAGTTTAGGTTTTTATTATTGTCATTTTGATTTGAAGTAATGTTTTGGACTCTTACAGTATATAAAAACAAAGAAACCAAGCTTTATAATTTAATCAGCACCCTCACATTTTTTTTCCAAGAAAGAAATTGTACATTTGTTTTTCATTCTAAATAAAGATGACAGAATTACAGTAAAGGTTTGGCAGAGTAAAAAAAAAAGAAACAAGTATCTCATCTAAATAAATCAAACAGGGATGAGCATGCAAGATAATCTTTTCCAGGTCTTTTGCTTAGTAAAAATGGAAAAAAGTGGCAGTAAAATGTTTTTATTTTCAACTAAACAAGGTTTCTGCAAAACTAAAATAAAATGAATCAAATCTGTAAAACAAACAACCATGTGAGCTGTGTGGTCATGTGAGATTAAAATATTATTGGTTACTTGCTTCTTATGTTCACATTAAACGTCAGTTCCAGATCATTGTGTTTCTGCCAGCCTTACAAGTTCTTCTAACCAGCTCCATGATTAAAACAACGCTTTCAGGTCCAGCTAGCGTTCGCACAAAACAGCAGTTTGTAGTTACATTTCAGAAGGTGTTATGTTAGTTTCTTCCTCTTTTGTGATGTCTGCTCCAGTTTATATAAAGTGGAGACCTGAACAGAGGACTAATTATGCTTATCTGCAGATGGAACTGGCTTGTTAATTAAAAGCAAAGTGATCAGTCGCTGTCTGAGCTGGAACTAGAGCTTGACCGACTTTTCTTGCGATCTTTCCTATCTTTGCCTTTTGTACTATCTGGGCTTCTCTTGTCTCTGGATCTCTTTCTCTTTGTAGAATCGGGACTTTTTCGGCTCTTCTTTTTTTCTGCTCTATCACTGTCGGAGCTGCTGCTGCTGCTACTGCTGCTGCTACGTCGCCTCCGCCGGTTGGGGGAGTCCCTGCTTCTGTCATTTCTTTGAGAAGATCGATCTCTGCTGCGGTCCCTGCTGCGGTCTCTCCTGCGGCTTCTGCTTCTTGAGTGCCTGCCTCTGTCTCTGGTCTTACTCCTGTCTGGACTTCTGGACCGCCTGTCCTTCTCCCTGGATGTTCCTCTTCTCCGTTTCTCCCTCTCCTTACTCCTGCTTCTTTTTCTGTCCCTTTCCTTATCTGTTTTTTCATCTTTACCTTTGTCTCTGTTTCTGCTGCTGGATCTTTCCTTGCTTGCTGATTTTGCCTTTGTTTTTTCTTGATCCTTTTCTTTACCCTCTTCTTTATGCTTCATATCAGATTCCTTGCCTTTAATTTTATCTTTGCTCTGATCTGCTTCTGAGTCTTTTTCTTTTTTATGTCCTTCTTTGCTCCTTGAGCGCCCTCTTCTGTCACTACTTTTATGCTTATTGGCCTTCTCTCTGCTTTTTGACCTTCTACTCTTTTCTCTACTTCCACTGCGACTGCGAGACTTTTCTTTTTTCTTTGCTTTGCTGTGCTTGCTGTGATGCTCATCTTTCTCTGCAGTACCGCCCTCTTTGCTTTTAGACCTGTGAGACCGAGTTTTCTTTTCCTTTTTGCCCTCGGCCGTGTGTTCATCTTTGGTGTTGGATGTCCTTCTCTCTCGTTTTGGAGCGTTAGTTTCTTCATCCTTAGCATCGATCAAGTCACTTCTGTAATAAATTAATAAGGTAATGGACAACTACTCTCAGTTAAAAATTACATCTCAAGTTTTACAAAGATTTCTGAATTATATTGCCTATTCCTGAATGGCCTTAAAATATTAAACACCCAAGATGATCTTAGCTCATCAATATTGTTAATTTTACATATGAAGGGCCAAATTTAGTTGATTGTACACATGTTAAATAAACAAAACGTATCTCTAGTTTGTTTCAGTTCATAAAATGCATACCTTTTACTCATAAAATATTTTATTAAAATTGGAATTTGGTATGTTAAAAGCACATGTAGCTGTCCCTGCAACCCTGCACCACCCACACCCTGCACACGCCCTCTTTCTGAAACTCCACCTGTTCATAAAGTGAATATTCTTACTTGTCCCCCTTAATCCATCGCTCTCTGGTGACTGCCCTCATCCTCTGACGCTGCATCTCCTGGCGCCAGTGTGGAGGAGTTTCACTACGCCGATATCGATCTCTGGATCTTGAACGAGAACGTGATGGAGTTCGGTACCTCTGTTGGAAGAAATAAAAATTGTGATTTTTTTTTTTTTTTACCTGGAACTGCACATGAGCCAAATATATCCAATTCACATGCTAAAAGAAATAATACAAAAGGTACAAGGAAACCTGAATAATGATGCATTATATTTAAAATCAAAATAAGGCGGAAATGTTTTAGCTGAGCTCCTCACATCTTTTGGTCACTTACCCTCGGCCCCCTCCCTTTTATCTTCCTTCCTGACCGAGTGGTAACCTGAAATCGCCTCTGATATGGTGACTGAGAATTATATAACCCAGCGCTGCAAATAAAGAAAAACATGATGGTCAAACAAACACAGTACCATTACTTCAAGTTTTTCTTTCTTGCAACAGCTCATAAAACACTAACTTCTGTCTGGATCTATCGTCTTTATTCCTTGGGTTCTTATCGTCCTCCTTGTTTGGCTTCTCGGCTGGTGGAGGACTTCTCCTCATGAGGAACCGGTTCTCTGGGATGGGAGGGATTTCTTCAGGCCGTACAGTGGAGGTCACCTCATCTTCTTGTTCTTTCTCTTCAGCAGTTTCCTCAACAGTCCTATAAAACAAACAAAAAATCTGTTTTAGAAATTGCTTTTTAATAAACATTAAAGTCAGAAGTTATGCAAAAATATGATCTACTTTTTCTTTTCCTTCTTTTGTTTCTTTTTTAACTTTTTCTCCTTCTTTCGCTTCTTAGATTCTTTTTCGGATTCTTCTGAACCCGAAGAAGAATCCGAGGAGCTTTCAGAATCAGATGAGCCACCACTGGAGCTGGATGAGGCTTTCTCTCTCTTTTTATCTGCTTTCTTTCCTTTAAAAAAAAACAACATAAGATAACAAGAAAAAACATCAAAATCACTTTTAGGACTTTTATACCAGTTTTTTTTTATGAAAACCCAGAGATTGAAACAAACCTTTTGATTTCGGGATGAGCTCTCCGCAGTTCAGAATTTTCACTTCAGCGTACGGCCGGCTGTTAGGATCCGTTTTCTGGTTCTCCATCGTTTGAACAACTTCTTGGCCAGAAATGACATGACCAAAAACTACATGGACACTAAAAACAGACAAGCTAAATCAAATTTTATCCCGATAACACAATCAGTTTGTGTTTACAAATAAAATCAGGTGCTTGTTACCCATCCAAATGAGGTGCAGGTTTTGTTGTTCTGGAGGGTCAGAGTCAGTGAAGAGAAACAGCAATGAATGTGTAAACTTGTTAGACAAGTACTGCCAAAAAATAAAACTGACATTATTTATCAAATAAAAATAAAAAGCCACTTACATGAAAAACTGTGACCCATTTGTATCCTTGCCCCGATTGGCCATAGACAGCAGATAATCTTTGTTGTGTTTAACAGCAAAGCTTTCATCTAGAAGGGAAGGGAGAGGATTGTTCGGCCATCTTGAAGCCAACACTGCATTTGATAACATCTGATAGCTAAGATGGTGGCTTCTTTACCTTCAAAAAAGCCTCCATAGATGGATTCCCCTCCTCTTCCATTTCCTGCAGTGAATAAAAGTAAAGTACAATCAGATGCTAGTTGACTACAATTCATTAGAAAATATGTTTCTCATGTGTTCTGAAATAAAGAATGGTAATGCACCACTTATTTTACCCTGGACATTTCTTCTCCCAAACCATTTATGTATATCAATGTTCAGTGAAATCAGCAAAAATGTTTACTCAAAAACCCTTCATGCTGCTAAATTATTGACAAAGTAGACAAGTGAGTTCAATAAGAAATGTGATTGATTGCGTTAAAATTTTTAAAAGTGTTAAAATCTATATAATTAATTAATCAATTGATGCTAACGTGTCGCATTCCTAGATGTTGTCATTGTCCTGTAGAGAGCAGAGAAAAAACATTTCCAGGAACAATGACATTTTTCCATACTTTTTCAGACCAAAAGGTTGCGTAAATAAATTTTGATACTATTCCAGTCTTTGTAAGCACCTGTATTTACAAAGTTGTTTCAACAAATTAACTCAGGTTAATAATGAATTGGTTTTCTTTGTTCTATTTTAGATGGTAATGTAAAAATTAACAGTTTCATATGAGTGACGTTTGTTTACAAAATTAAGAGCAATTGGAGAAGTGTAGTGATAGGAAAAAAATTATCAGTATGTTGACATTATACATGAAGATCAAACCATTCTGCACCAAGTATTTCATTCACAGCCGTTTATATCTCACCTTCGCTGAAGTCTCCTCCCTGAATCATAAAGTCTTTCACAATGCGATGGAAAAGGCATCCTTTGTAGTGCAGGGGCTTCTGAGTCCCTTTGCCTATGCCTTTCTCACCTAAATGAAATAACAGTCCATCGTCATAACTAATCTGTAACATAAAAATGATCAATTCGTAGAAAAAAAATTAATGTGGAGAAATCCTTCACCTGTGCAGAGGCATCTAAAGTTTTCACAGGTTTTTGGGCAGATGTCTGAAAATAACTCCACCACAATTCTGCCAACTGTGAAGAGGAATCAATAAGTTAGAAGTGAGTCATGGATTAAATACCCAGCTTTCATTGTTTTTGGGAGACATATTTAATAAATATAGTTTAGACCAATTGTAAAGTTTTAACAATTTGAAGTTTTAAATACTGAAAATTGTTTTTTTATTTTTCTCCCAGGCAATCCAACAACAACAACCATGTTTTGGACTCATTAAACATAAAGGCCAATAAACTGTAAATGGAAAAGTAAAAGTACCGGGAGCAGAAGTAAAGGCCTTCTGATAATTCAACAGTCAAGAGCAGCAGAGTGTGTAAAATAGGTAAAGAAGTGTGTGCAAGCAGGTTGAGAGACCAGAAGAAAAAGCTTGAATATGTATCTTTCCATGTAAAAAGACAGTCTTGTAATCCCATCACCTACTGTTGATTTCAAAATAAAAACAATTTCTACATTCCTCTCACCTAGAACATTACTGATCCCGACGTCAAAGAAGCAGCGAGGGCGAACCTTGATCCCCATAGTTTCTCCCAAACACCTGCAGTTGATTCAACCAAACAAATGAAATTACAGGATGAGCTTAAATTTACCTTTAATCTCTTTATAT